CTTACAAAACAACCTATAGGTTTAACTGTACTTCTAATTCTAAAGCATCTATTGCAAACTAAATACAATCAAAATTTCTAAACAATGCCTTAGAGCAGTTGTGATTATCTTAACATAAACTTGCATTCCAAACCTTTGATTGTCATGGTTTTCTTTATAGCAAAACTATTTTGTAGCATCATAATGCATTACGTTCTGGTTCAGATACTTTCTAAAACAAACGCTTAACAAAATATGGTCAGTATTTAATATAGAGAGATGTGAAGTTTGCTAAGCACATTATGAGACTTAGAACCAGCATGAGGAAGAATATCTCATATCACATTTAGAAGAGACAGTTTAGGACTTAGAGAAAACATGCTTATCAGTTCATGCAATTACAATTAAGTAACACTGAGATTTAGATAAGTTAATAACAGAGTAAGATTTTGTCTTTTCTTTTTTTTCAGTTCAAGCTTGTTTCCAGCTTTGGGGGACAGAACTCACACTGACATTCTGTGTAAACCTGCTGATGTTTACTTTACAAAGACTGAAATAGTATTGGGAAAACTATAAGCAGTAATTAATAAGCTTCAAAATGTTCAGAATATGTTACTAATTGCCACTATGTAAATCATTACAACGGTTACATCCTGAATCCTATGGGATGTTGTTTGAACCTTATTTTACTTTTAGTTTGTTTTTGGAACAATTAAGTTGAAAAACCACCAGCTATGATTTGTAAATATTCAGCCAACAGTGAATCTACAGATGTTATTTCAAATATAAGAAATCAGTTTTCTTCATTATCACTACATTCTCTGTTAAGGTTGATAAATATGATGTATTAATTGATCAAAGGTTTGAATGGAAAAGATCAAACATTTCCAGACCAGTTTTATTTTAAGTACAAAGGCTCAGCCTCCCTACTGCAGGACACAATGTGGACCAGGTTTTAATCGCACATTCTGCATTACCAACGTACTAATTATTCTGCTTTAAGTTTCTCTTCACAGACGCTGCTAAACCTGAAACCTTTTCTGAAGGAAGACTCACGGTTTGTGCCAAATGTCATAGTAAGGTAGGAAAACTATTAATGGATATTACATAGAGCTCAGCTGCTGATACTTTGGAACTGTTCCCAAATTCAGTGATTTAAAACAAACAGCCTATAGTATTAAGAACTAAATCAGAAGATAGAGACATGTGAAAATTATGTGACTATGTCAGAATAGGTCACGATTCAAATTAATTAAATAGAAAACCTTAAATATGAACCTCCAAGTGATTATCTAGGCACAAAGTACAATGTAAAATTAACATGTGTACCTGTAAACTATATGGAATATAAATA